TATCAATTTTCTTTATTCTTTTGAACAACCAACTCTTGGCTTCATTGATTTTTTGTATCATTCTCTTAGTCTCTATTGCATTGATTTCTCCTCTGATCTTTATAATTTCCTCCCTTGTATGAGCTTTGGGGTTGTCCTGCTCTTCTTTTTCTAGAAGCTTGAGGTTCAGCATCAGGTTGCTTAATTGAGCTCGTTCTGTTTTCCTAATATGTGTATGCACTGCTATGATTTTCCCTCATAAGACTGCTTTCATTTTGTCCCATAGATTCCGATATGTTGTATTGTTTTTGTCATTTAATTGAAGGAACTGTCTGATTTCTTATTTCATTTCCTCTGTGACTCATTGGTTATTCAGAAGTATGTTGTTCAATTTCCATGTGTTTATGAAATTTTTTGAGTTTCTTTTGCTATAGATCTCCAATTTCATCCCACTATGGTCTGATAATATACACGGGATAACTTCAATTCCTTTGTACTTACTTAAACATGTTCTATGAGCGAGTATGTGGTCTATTTTGGAGAATGACCCATGTGGAGCTTAAAAGAATGTGTATTCTGATTTGTGGGTGGAACACTCTGTAAACCTCTGTTCAGTTCATTTGTTCAAGATTTTGATTGAGTTCTAGTATTTTGTTGATTGTGTTTTGTCTAGTTGATCTATCTATTTGTGACAGTGGGGTATTGAGTTCCCCCACTACAATTGTATTAGTGCATATATGACTTTTCATGTCCGTTAGTATTTGTTTTATATAGTTGGGCATGCTAGTGTCTGGTGCATAGATATTTATGATTGTCATCTCTTCCTCTTGGATTGTTCCCTTTACGAGGATGTAGTGTCCTTCTTTGTCTCTCTTAATCAGTGTTGGTTTGAAATCCACTTGATCTGCAAAGAGGATAGCTAGTGATGCTTTCTCTCTGGTTCCTATTGTATGGAGTCTTGTTTTTCACCATTTAACTTTCAGTCTATGAGTTTGTTTTTGAATTAAGTGTGTTTCTTGTATGAAGCATATTGTTGGATCTTGCTTCTTGATCCATTCTGCCAGTCTATTTCTTTTGATTGGTAAATTGAGACCATTAACATTATTGGTTATAACTGATAGGTATTGACTTATTATTGTCATGACTTTTTCTTTTTGTTGAATTCTCCCACTTGGCATTTCATTTCTTGTCATGCCAGATGGGTTCATTCTTCTGGCCTTCCTGCAGTTGAGATCCTTGTTGTCTTTTCCTAGGCTATTGTGTAAAATTTTTTGGAGTGCTGGTTTGGAATCCATGAAGTTCCTAAGGTGCCCTTTGTCATGAAAGTGTCTTATTTCTCTATCAATTTTGAAAGATAGTTTTGCAATCTGGTTTGAAGACTGTTTTCCTTTAGGGCTTGAAGTACATCACTCCAAGCTCTTCTTCCCTAGAGGGTTTGTGTTGAGAAGTCTGCTGTGATTCTGATGGGCTTTCCTTTGTATGTGATTTGTTTCTTTTCTCTCACTGCTTGTAGAATTTTGT